TTGTATTTTTAGTAGAGACGTGGCTTCACCATGTGGGCCAGGCTGGTCTCGGACTCCTGACCTCGAATGATCCACTCACTTTGGCCTCCCTAAGTATTGGGATTACAGGCATGAGCCATTGTGCCCAGCTAATTTTTTTTTTTTTTTTTTTTTTTTTAAGGCAGAGTCTCTCTCTGTTGCTCAGGCTGGAGTGCAGTGGCGTGACCTTGGCTCATGGCGACCTCCACCTCCCAGGCTCGAGCCATCCTCCCACCTCAGCCTCCTGAGTAACTGGGACTACAGACACGTGCCACCATGCCTGGCTAATTTTTGTATTTTTGGTATAGGCAGGTTTTCGCCATGTTGCCCATGCTGGAGAAGCTCCTATTTTAATAGCAGCTTTCTCAGTACTTGTTCAGGTTGCAAAGGAAGCAAACACTTTTGTGATGATGCCGTCTGCTTTACAAATTTACTAAAAATATTTGATGGCTGAAGGGGAAACCCAGAAAAGTCCCACCATTTAAAAAATGGAGAACCTTCCCAAAGTTAATGACCTTAGATCAGATTCAAGTTTTGAATTATCTCAATAAATGCAACACCTCCAAGCTGCTGCAAGCTTCCCACAGTGATTCTCCAGTGATTCAGGCTTGAATAGGATTGATTTGGTTTTTGAGGCATTCAGCTTTCTTTGCATCTTCTTCATTTACTTTTCTAGTTGAATGGCTTATGAAGATGTGATGAATAGAAAATAAACTTATTAAAATACATTCCTGGGAACTTTATCAGAAACATGGGAACTTAAAACCTGCTGCTCTGAATAGCCTCAATGAGATCAGAGCGCAAGAAATAATCCATTAGGCAAGTAGTTATTGCTCAATGGAAAAAAACAAAAAGGAGAAAAATATTTTAGTAAAATAAAAACCTAAGTAAACCAACTAGAGGACACATTGAATTTTTTTTTTTTTTTTTTTTTGAGATGGAGTCTCACCCTGTCACCCAGGCTGGAGTACAGTGGTGTAATCTCAGCTCACTGCAACCTCTGCCTACTGGGTTCAAGAGATTCTCCTGCCTCAGTCTCCCAAATGGCTGGGATTACAGGTGCCTGCCACCACGTCTGACTAGTTTGTGTTTTTAGTAGAGATGGGGTTTCACCATGTTGGCCAGGCTGGTCTTGAACTCCTGACCTCAGGTGATCCACCCAAAGTGCTGGGATTATAGGTGTGAGCCACTGCGCCTGGCTGGTAGAGTTTCTTTCTACAGGAGGAAATGAAGTACAATGGAAAGAGCACTGTGTTGAAAGAACAATTAGCCTTGACCAACAGCCAGCTGTGAGGTCTTAGTACCTCATTTGAACTGTCTCAGTCTTGGCCAGGCATAGTGGCTCATGCCTGTAATCCCAGCCCTTTGGGAAGCCAAGAAGGGTGGACAGCTTGAGTACAGGAGTTTGAGACCAGGCTGGGCAACATGGTGAAACCCCATCTCTACTAAAAATACAAAAAGTTAGCTGGGTGTGGTGGCATGCACTCGTGGTCTCGGTTACTCGGTGAGCTGAGGCCGGAGGATCACTTGAGCTTAGGAGGTCGAGGTTGCAGTGAGCCCTGATTGTGCTAGCCTGGGCGACAGAGTGAGACACTGTCTCAAAAAAAAAGTCCCTTACGAAACCAAAAATAAGCTGTCTCACCTGTAGAAGAGGGTTCTACAGTTAAGATCACTTCCAGCTTCCTATGGTTCTTCTAGGCCTATGACTAGTTTTGAAAGAGGCTTCGCAGAGTTCTGGCTTTGGAAAAAACAGAACGTATAGGCCCCTTTCACAACAGAGCTTGATGTTACCCAGGCCAGTGCACAGTGACGGACTGCCAGCCACAGACAAGGCTCTCAGCGAACTGGTGGGCAAAAGAATTCCTTGGTGCAGGAAGTGCCACACTGCCGTTTTGTGATGGTGGGCAATACAATTTTATAAACATTTATTCAACGTGCCTACTATGTGTCAAGTTTCAGTTCTGCTTCCTCTGGTTTTCTGTTCTGCACCATAGTGAAAATATTCACTTGGGACTGAGGCAAAATGGCAAAAAATCTGCCTTAGTTTGCCTGACAGCTTTGACTCCGAGTGGCCTTGCTCTGCTCTTCGGGCACTCCAACCACTCCCCAAGATGATCTTCTCCATGTCAGGACCTTAGATTATGAATCTTAAATGTGCTCTCAGCACTGTCTGGCAATTTAGTTCTTTTGAGACAGAGTCTCGCGCTGTCACCCAGGCTGGAGTGCCGTGGCTTGATCATAGCCCAATGCAGCCTTGAATTCTTGGGCTCAAAGAATCCTCCCACTGGGACTGCAGACACTCGCCACCATCCCTGGCTAATTTTTTTTTTTTTTTTTTTTAATAGAGGTGGGGTTTCGCCATGTTGCCGTCTTGAACTCCTGGACTCAAGCAATCCACCTGCCTTGGCCTCCCAAAGTGCTAGGATTACAGGTGTGAACCACTAAGCCCAGCTGTTAATTATTTCTTTACTTTTCTCAAACTTCTCCCAAGCTCTCATACACATTCTTCTTGTCTCATGGTCACTCAGAAAATGGAAGCCATCAGCCGGGCATTCCCTCATCTTCCCAGTAATAAATCTATGAGCTGACTTCCTTCCCATTACCTTAGAGGTGTCCCTCTTTCTACAAAGGCCAGTATCTCCCTCCTGCCATCTCAAGGACTTTTTTTTTTTTTTTTAGTCAGATAACTCTCTTTTAAATCATCCTGTATGAGTCTGTTTTCATACCGCTATAAGGAACTACCTGGGACTGGGTAATTTCTAAAGGAAAGAGGTTTAATTGACTCACAGTTCAGCATGGCTGGGGAGGTCTCAGGAAACTCACAATCATGGTGGAAGGCTAAGGGTAAGCACGACGCATTCTTCACAAGGCAGCAAGAAGGAGACGTGCCTGAGTGAACGCGGGGGTGGGAGGGAAGAGCCCCTTATAAAACCATCAGATCTCGTGAGAACTCACTATCAGGAAACTCACATGGGAGAACCGTCTCCATGATTCAATTACCTCCACCTGGTCTCTCCCTTAACAGGTGGGGATTCTGGAGATTACAACTCAGGATGAGATTTGTGTGGGGACACAAAGCCTAATCATACCACACCTCTTTCTCTTGCTTTCTTAACCTCTCCCTCTCCTATTTACCTCAGTCTTACCAGCATATGGATTATAATCTGGTCTCTCCTCCCTCGAAAAACAAAACAAAAAACACAAAATCCAAAGCCTCCCTTGGGCTGTCTAAACTTCTTAGGATTTGTCTGTCTGCACACGGAATTCCTTTGCTTAGCTCTCACGCACCCTCCAAACCACTCCAGTCTGGCTTTGCCCACGCTCCGTCCTCCCACGCCAACTCTACTCTGTCACACCTGTTTTGCTGAGGCCACTGTGATATGTTGAATAGTGGCTCCCAAAAGATATGTCCTAACCCCCAGACCCTGCCAGTGTGACCTTATTTGGAAAAACGGAATTTGTGGATGTTAGGCATCTCCAGATGAGATCATCCAGGATTTAGGGTGGGCCTTAAGTTCAATAACAGGTGTCCTTGTGAAAGAAAGGCAGTGGGAGATTTAAGACATATGAGAAACAGGAGAGAGGGCCATGTGAATGTGGAAGCAGATTTGAGGGTTGTGTCTCTAAGTCAGGGAAGCCAAGGATAGCAGTCACCAGAAGCTGGAAGAGGCAAGGAAGGATTTTCTGCTAGAGCCTTGGGAGGGAATGCAGCCTGCGGACACCTTGATTTTGGACTTCTGGTCTCCAGAATCATGGGAGAATAGATGTATGTCGCTTTAAACCAGCATATTGTGGTCATTTGTCATGGTAGCCCTAGGAAACTAATAATTCACCAATGACCGCCACGTTGCTAAGCCCTAGACACGCCGCCATCACTGTCTTCCACTTTGCAGCAACACTTGGTTCAGCTAACTGCTCCTTCCCCAAAACATGTACAGTCCTGGCTTCCAGGGAACCACTTTCTGCTGGGGTCACTCTTTGCTTTGAAGGGCTTCATCTTAGGGTTCCCTGCCAGCTTTCTGGCTCTACCCAATCTCTCTTCTTTTCTCCCTTTACATTCTCTCAGGTAATCACAACAATGTGTTTTTTTTTTTGTTGTTTTTTTTTTTTTTAAGTAGAGACGAGGTTTCACCACATTGACCAGGCTGATCTCGAACTCCTGACTTCAGGTGATCTGCCCGCCTTGGCCTCCCAAAGTGCTGGTATCACAGGTGTGAGCAACCGTGCCCAGCTAATTTTTTTTTTTTTTTTTTTGGAGACAGGGTCTCTCTGTATTGCCCAGGCTGGCACACACTTCTCTTTATAGTTACTGTCATCATCTTTCGATCACACTGATGTTCTCCTTCACTTTGTCTCTTGCAATAGCTTCCCACTGATCCACCACACAGTGGCTAGAGTGCCCTTTCAACAGATCACAGTACCGCGGTCCTCCTTAAAGCCCTTCCAAGGATTCCCACTGAATCTGACACACAATTAAAACTCCCTAAAGGCCTTTTGTGGCCTCGTCCCTGCCCTCTGTCCATCTCTCTGCCCCTGGGGTCTGTCCACAATGGATGCTCTTTAGGCGTCCTGCCTTCACTTCTTCAGAGAGAACTTCCTGACAGCTGTCCCCTCTCCATCTTAAACGTCTCTCCTGTTACTTTCTCTCACAGAATTCAGTTCTTTCCACCATAGCGTTTGCCACAATCTGTAATTACTCATCTGACCATGTGTGTATTTATTTGCTTTCCCCGTCACTGGGTTGCTTCCAGACAGCAGCTGGGATCGTGTTTCTCACCCCTGAGCATGGAGCGCCTGGCTCAGGGGCAGGCACAGAGACGGTGCTCTCCAAGTACTCGCTGAATGAATCCACAGTCGTCTCCTGCCTCAAACACAGGTCTGGCAGGAAAGCTCTTCTGGTGAGAATACTTTACCCCCGCAAAAAAAAAAAAAAAAAAAAAAAAGGGGAAGAAAACACCCCCCCCCCCCCCCCGGCAAATTTTTTTTTTTTTTTTTTTTTTTTCTTTTTTTATGGCTGACAGGTCTATGCATTGCGTTATGCTTAACAACCAGAGCTTTCGAGCCTCTATGGCTGGCGACAAGTCAGGAGATCTTCAGGCAAAGAGGGGTGTGTGCAGTCAAGGGGCTGGGAGAGAAGACTGAGTGGGTGTGCAGAACAGAAGGACCCAGAGGACATCACCCTAAAAATGTTTTATAGGCTGCTCCAGTTTAACTCCATTAAGACAAACCCAAAAAGAACCTTTTATTTGTATTCCGTTTTTCAAGCTGCAAGTTTTTAATACATCACTGTAAAGTAAACCTGTGGTTGGTTGCAAAGGAAGAATACCGTGGGCTTTCCCTTTTTGCCCAGTTTTCCACAAATGTCCTCACCTTGGTCATAGCCAGTCTTTTGACAAAGTAAGCAGCATTTGATGAGGGGGTGGGGGGTAGGGGGGCTCTTTATTCCAGCTTCCAATTCAAGATGTAGAGAGCTACAATGTCTAAACCTATTGAATTGCTCCTTTAGTCCTTGAGACATTATTTCTCAGAAGCAGCCACTTAATCTCTCAACCTTTGTTTTCCCTCTTTGACCATAAGAGTTTATAAATCAGAGGGTATTTTGTTGCGGAGATTTTGTTTTGTTTTTACTCCTGCAAGATTTACAACTCAAAATAAATTATAAAAAACAACAGACCTCTGAAACCCAACAGGACAAAATTGTGCAAAAATAACAAAGATATGTACATACTTTTCAGTCTGAAGAAATGTACAATAAAAACATAATTCAAAGAACAGTTTAAAAATATAAACATTGCTTAAACTTTCCTAAGTTTCATATTGTTTCTGAAACTATTCTGGTCAGTTAGCTCTGCAATATAGTAAAACATAAATTATTACAAAATTAACACTATAAAAATTTACTTTAAGAATATCTTCTAAATTTTTTTTCAAAGGGTCTAACCTTGTTTATAATTTCTTAAACATTTATAAGTCTTAAAATCTGCCTTAACTTTTTTTTTTAAAAAAGAAAAAGTAACAATCGTCCCTTCACTTTGCAGTCTCTTTCCCCAAGACGTAAATAAACCAGCATATAAGTGCACTTTTAACACTGCAGAAATAAAAACGAAATCATCCGAACTAATGTCCTGGTACTTAATATCAACTCCTGATTTTTAAAAAAATCATTTCGTATGAAAAAATTTAGTAATCCTATAAGAAACACTCACTGTCAGTGCAATTCCATTGATGCAAATCACTCCATTTGCCTCCCGTCTTTGCAATTCCAATTGTGTGGTGAAACCTAACAGTGGTCCGATCTTTGGGTTGGGGGAATGGGAAAGAAAAGGAAAACTTCTGGTTGGGGATGAGGGTTCTGCCCAGCTGTGAAACTAGCATTCATTTCTGATTTAGGGATGAAGCAAAACCTCCCAGTATCTCTGCTATACATCATATGCAAAGTTACATGATTAATAGCACAGAACACCTATTTTATGTTGTGAATTCCTTTCCTGATTATGATTCCCTACTAGAGCTGACGGTATTGCTGTTTTTTTCAAAACTCCAGTGTGAATAGTTCTATGGCTGCAGGGCTCCAGCATGGCTCTTCCAAATGGCTGTTCTTCACTGAGCAGTGGCTGTCCTTACCATTCCTTCTTGGGGATGGCTGTCTCTAACACAGCAAAAGCTGATCCATGGGTGTGCTGATCCCACCAGGTCCCTGTGGCCCAGGGCATGGGGGTGGGTGGGTGGGAAATGCTATTATTCCTTCTCACAAAAGGTGTGACACATACCCTTTTGCAGAAGCTCTCCCTGGAGGGCTCTTCCTAGCCCAGGAAGGCAGCCTAAGAACCTTTAGCAGCTGTGGTCACTGTGCCTCCTCATGGAGTGGCTTTCTGGGTTCTCATGACCTTTTTCCTGGGATTTCTCCCTCCTAGTTCACCCTGCTGTGGGCATGGGCACACTGATCCCTGGAAGGGATTCTGTAGATTCCTGACCAGCTCAGACCACCACAGTCCCCAGTTTTTTTTTAGGGGTCATCTCCTAGCCACCATGCTCTGTTTGCTGCCACCTTCCCAAACCTGTTCTGGCCCCTGTCCCTGTCCCTGACTGGTTTATCCTTTCTGAGCTGCACAGCTGGCCAGTGGTATTAGGTAAACCACATGACTAAATGGCCACTGTTCTCAATCTTGCTTCTAGCATTTGGCTCCAGCCATGGTGGGCTGTGGAAACCCGATGAGGGAACCCCACCCACTCTCCAACGCTCCACTCTCAGCTCCTCCCCAGCAAAGTCCCCTCTCCCTGCAGGCAGTCCTGAGGGGATCCTAGGAGAGCCAGGTCCTTTGAAGGCCAGTGAGGACCCAGAGAGTGGCAGATGTGGGGACGGAAGGGATCGGGTGGAAAGGACAGGAAGAAAAAGGGCTCTGCCTGTGCTGAAGTTCAAGAGCTTCAGAGCATGCCAACCTGAACCAACATTCTGCAATGTCTACTGTCATGGCTGGAGCAAAAGGATGGTACAGTAGCAGCATCAGGAGCTAGGGGAATGACCCCAAATTTGGAAGAATGTAAAAACATGGCAAATGAAAGAAAAGACAACGGAAACCAAACACTGGAACTGTTTTCTGTAAATCTCAAATTCACGTTCTTTTGCCTTTTTCTTTAAAACTAAAAATTGGTCAATTAAAAAAGAAGAAGAAAGGCCAGAGTCACAGGGAGTACACAGAAAACAGACTCTCCCTCCAGCCCACTCCCCTCCCTCCTCCTCCCCGTGGCCTCCTGGGATGGGATTAGGTGGCCTGGAATTGGTGTGGAAGTGGCTTCATAGTCTTGTTATGGAAGAGTCCTTATCCTGCCCGTTCTGTTTGTGTTCTTCTAGGAAAGAAAAGAAAAACTTGTTTCAAAACCATACAATTGAGATTACCCATGAGAATTCAAGGATGGAGCCTCAGTTTTCTCATCTATAATAGAGAGGACAATATCCCACCTCCCGTATCTGGCAAAGGGCAGCTGAAATAGCAAATGAGATGATGGATCTAAAGGATCCAATAGCAAATGAGGTGATGGATCCATGCGTGTAAGGCAGTCACAGAGGTCCTCACTGTGGAGGAAAACACAAGGACGAATGCCGCGGACATTCCTGGGAGGCCTCTGTGGGAGAGTGGAGAGAAAAACTGATGCCTTCGTTTTTGTTCTCTGTTAGTTTACCTTTTCCTACCTAACTTACAGAGGACACGGCAAATTATCTCAGGAAGGAGTCTAGTGTTGGGTTAAACATAGAGGCTTTGGAAAGAGAGATTTTGGGTTCAAGTTACTTGGCTTCTTAGTGTAGCCATCTTCATCTATAATCATCTTGTCCCTCACAGGGTTGTGAAAAGGTTTAAATGTGTGTAGTGTGTGTAAAGGACATGGCACACAGCCCTCTCTCTGCAGGCAGAGAGTGCTAAACAAGTGGTGGCCATTATTGTGTTTGTCAGGGCTGATTGCCAGCGTTTTGGGCTCCCAGCAGGTGTAGCTGGAGCTATAGGCACATGCAAGCCGTGTTTGGTGAGGGTGCAAGAGGCCTCATCAACAGAGGCTGATGGTCTGCGTGTAAACGTGCCTCCCCACCCCAGCACACATGATGAGCTGCAAGTGTTCTGGCACAAAAAGGGCTCAAAATGGTGAGGAGACTCTCCCTGGCCTGGGGATACAAAAACCATTTCCCCATAATCTTCACCCAAACTCGACCCAAAATGTGTGAGAAAATCCCAAAGGGCAAAACACAGACAGGCACGTAGATATTTTTCTGTTTGGTGTCTACAAAACATGCGGCACATCTAAGGCAACATAACAACACAGTTATACACACACGTACACCCACACATCTTCCAATCATGTGTAAGGGGCAAAAGCCACCCCCAAATCCTTCCTTGTCCGCCCTAGACACATATGCACACACCCCATTGAGAAAATCATTTATCACAGGCGTACACATCAACTACTCTTATACCTCAAGTTTATAAAAACTACTAAGTCTACCCTGAATACTGCTGCCATGAAACTGCATCCTGAATGGTGGCTGTAGTTCGCCAGAGGCTTTTGAGAGAGTGCTGATGGACAGATACCATGGGCAAAGCCTCCCCCTCCTCTTAAAAAAAAAAAAGTTTTGGCCGGGCGCGGTGGCTCAAGCCTGTAATCCCAGCACTTTGGGAGGCCGAGACGGGCGGATCACGAGGTCAGGAGATCGAGACCATCCCAACATGGACTAACATGGTGAAACCCTGTCTCCACTAAAAAATACAAAAAACTAGCCGGGCGAGGTGGCGGGCGCCTGTAGTCCCAGCTACTCGGGAGGCTGAGGCAGGAGAATGGCGTGAACCCGGGAGGCGGAGCTTGCAGTGAGCTGAGATCCGGCCACTGCACTCCAGCCTGGGCGACAGAGCGAGACTCCGTCTCAAAAAAAAAAAAAAAAGTTTTTTTTTTTTCAAGCAATTCTCCTGCCTCAGCCTCCTGAGTAGCTGGGATTACAGGTGCACACCACCATGCCCAGCTAATTTTGCATTTTTAGTAGAGATGGGGTTTCACCATGTGGGCAAGGCTAGTCTTGAACTCCTGGCCTCGTGATCCGCCCGCCTCAGTCTCCCGAAATGCTGGGATCACAGGCATAAGCCACCGTGCCCGGCCTAAAAAAATTTTTTTTTTGAGATAGGATCTTGCTCTGTTGCCCAGGCTGGAGTGCAAGGTGCAATCACAGCTCACTGCAGCCTCAACCTCTCAGACTTAAGTGATTCTCCTGCCTCAGCTTCCTGAATAGCTGGGACTATAGGCATGTGCCACCACGCCTGGCTATTTAAATTTTTTGTAGAGATAGGGTCTCAAGCCTAAGCTGGTCTCAAACTACTGGGCTCAAACCATCCCCCTGCCTTGGCCTCCCAAAGTGCTGGGATTATAGGTGTGAGGCATCACACCTGGCTGGCAAGTCCCTCCCGCTTTTTTTTTTTTCTTGAGATAGAGTCTCACTCTGTCACCCAGGCTGGAGTGCAGTGGCACAATCTCGGCTCACTTCAATCTCTACCTCCCTGGTTCAAGCAATTATCCTGCCTCAGCCTCCCGAGTAGCTGGGACTACAGGCACGCACCACCACGCCTGGCTAATTTTTGTATTTTTTAGTAGAGACGGTGTTTCACTATATTGGCCAGGCTGGTCTCAAACTCCTGACCTCATGATCCACCCATCTTAACCTCCTAAAGTGTTGGGATTATAGGCATGAGCCGCCGCGCCCGGCCGCAAGTCCCTTTAAACCACATCATCTTCTTTAATATTCACAATAGCCTTAGGAGGGAAGCACCAATTTTGCCTTTTAATGAATGAAAAAAAAAAAAACAACAGACTCAGAGAAGTAATGTGCCTAAGCTCGTACAGCTGGTAATAATAGCTAACACTTGTGGGTTTACTGTGTGCCAGGCATTTTCTAGAGGCTTTACATCAATAAGCTAATCCTCACAAAATCCATAGACGGTAGGGGCCAGTATGATTCTCACTTTATAGATGGAGGAAATGGAAGCACAGAGAAGTTAAGTAACTTGCCCAAGGGCACACAGCTAACTAGAAGGCCTAGGTTTGGAAGCCAGGTAGCCATGCTCTTAACTGGAGATGAGGTTTGAATCAGGGTCTGACCCCAATGCCCAAACTCTTTCCACTCTGCTGATGACCATATGAATTTTTGCCTCCCCACCCCCAGCCCACCCCGCCCCCAGCAACTTACCTGTCGGCTGTGTCCTGGGCTGGATATACTTGAAGGACTGGATTGTGACAAAGCTAGGCTGCTATTTTTCCCAACCTGAAAGACACCATTGAAGCCCCACTCAGACACCTGAGCCAGCCTGGGAAGGGCCCGCCGATGCCACATGTTCTAGGGGAAAGAAGGGCTGCACAATGCCTGCTTCATTCCCTCACATTGGCTTGGAACTGGTGTTTCCATCTTAAGTGGCAGAGAAAATGAAAATGTTGCAGAGGGTGCCTCGAGGGATGCCCTTTCCTTCCCAGAGTTAAAGTGGAATGGTGAGGACTCCTCACACTGCTCGCTAGCTGGCTGGACCCCAACAGGGAGGGATGAGGATGAAGGCATCTGGTGGAGAAGCCTGGCCCCTCCTGGGAGCTTCACTCAGTAGAGGCTGGGCTTTTCTACCTGTGGCCAAAGGGTCACACAGCTCATCCACCTCTGACCCTCCATCCCAAACCCATCTCGTTTCCAGCCCAGACTCCCTCAACCTGGCTGCAGATAAAACACCTGGATCTTTTGCTGGGTCAGTTTTCCTGGCTAGGAGATGTAACGCACATGCGACTGTTCTTTAGGAAAATAGCACGATGGTGCTGGGCTTCTCCTTCACATGGAGGGAGGCCAGGAACGCTGTGCATATGGGTGTGGCCACTGTGCCCTTCCCCTTCCTCTGGGACTGTCCTTCACACAATGGGCCTGGTCCTTGGGAAAGCTGATGCCAGGCACTAACCAGTCCCTGTCTAGTCTGCAAAGGCAGCTTCAACTTTCATCCTATAAACTGCTCCTCTTCTCCATTAACTTGCCTTTATGTAAAGACATTTGCCTTACATTATTTTATTTATTTATTTTTGAGACAGAGTCTTGCTGTGTCACCCAGGCTGGAGTGCAGTGGCATGATCTTGGCTCACTGCAACCTCTGCCTCTGGGGTTCAAGCGATTCTCCTGCCTCAGCCTCCTGAGTAGCTGGGATTACAGGTGCGTGCCACCCTGCCCGGCTAATTTTTGTATTTTTAATAGAGACAAGTTGGCCAGGCTGGTCTCCAACTCCTGACCTCGGATAATCCACCCACCTCGGCCTCCCCAAATGCTGGGATTACAGGTGAGAGCCACTGCACCTGGCTACATTCACAGTCTTAATTTTTGTTCCGTTTAATAGCCCTGTGGCAACTTCTGGCCTTATACCAACCAGATACAATTAAATAGATCTCCAAATTGTTCCCAAAGTAAAGGTTTATCTTGGATTTCTCAATCTCATGCATTGACCCCTGATCTCCTAGCAGAATTAACACAGATCCCAAGGGCCTTTGCCTTTCCTTAATACTTGGAAATCACTGGTGATAAAGCCTTTTCTTAATGCCCTAGTGACAAGCACCGAGGTATCACCTGCATTAGAGAACCAATGCTGACCAGATCCAAGGCAGCCATTAAATGCATCCGTGTTTTTCAATTCCCTCCTGATGAGTACTTGGCTGCTCCTTTCACCACTGCTTCTGGCTGACTCGGCATTTACTAAGCATTTCCTACAGTCCTGCGGACCAAAGAATCAACAGAGCCACATCTACTCAACACAGAGGGACTCTGTTAATGGCACAGAGGCTAAGAGGCCAGACTCCAGAGCCAAAATGCCTGGGTTTAAATCCTAGCCTAACTATTGACTTGCTGTGTGACTTTGGGTGCCTTGCTTAACCTTCCTGTGCCTTGGTTCACTCATCTGTAAAAGGGGAATAACAGCAAGTAATTATAAAATGAGTTAATAAATCTGAAGTACTTGGAACAGCGCCTATCACCTACGTGTTAGCTGCTGGGACTGTATCTAAAATGAGTGAGATACCACGGCCTTGCTGTCCAACGTGTGGCCTGCAAACCTGTGCAGCCATGTGGCCTGGGAGACTGTCAGAAATGCAGACTCCTAGGCCCCTGCCCAGGTCTGCTGACCGAGAATCAGAATGTTCACATGCCCCCCGGAGTTATTCGTGTACACGTTCAAGCTTGAGAGGCCTTAGCTCTGTCCTCCATCCTGGGCCCTGGTGGTGACACCCACCAGCAGTTTAGCCTCCGGGGAGAGCCCTGTGGGTACTGGCCCGCCTCCCTCACACCCCTGGCCGTGGGGAGTCAGAACAGTGCCCTCGGCTCAAGCGAGAGGACCTGTGTCTCCCCCTCCTCTCACCTTGGCCTCGGTTTGCAGCTTGTCTGGCCTTTGGGTTCCAAACTTGCTGTTTCTCATGTGTTTGTGATTTGTGACTCCCCCTGAGGCTGTGCTCTTCGTGAGGTTATAACAAGTCTCATAAGTGGTGACATAAAACATTAAAATATCTCTTGACAACTGCCTCCCATTGCTCCAAAGTCCTCAACCCTAGGTGGAGTTGGGCTTGGGGTTTGGTTCCCTTGATTCCGTGTAATGGTCTCTGGACACACTGCCCTGATGGGTCCAGGCTCCCGGGCGGGTTGCCTGGCCCTCTCGTCAGACTTGGCTCCGCAGAGAATCCGAGGCTGGGCCCTTCCCCACGTCTGCTCCCTTATCTATATGCCCAACCGGCCCCAGAGGCTGGGGTGGGGGCGGAGGTGGGGGTGGGCTTTCCTAAGTAGCCCCCCCAGCCGGAGGAGAAGGACTAGACTCAGGGATGAGAACAGAGCTCAAGGGAAAGAAACATGTATCCTTCTCAGACCACGCCACACTCTCTCAGCCTCCTCACCATACACACTCCTATCTGTACCATGGCATTGAACACTTCCTTGCCAGCTGGTGGCAGGTGCAGTTTTCCTTTAGGAAGGAAAGAGTTCTATCAGGAGGAGGTGGGGGTCGAGGCAGCCTAGGAAAGTGGGAAGGACAGTCACCTGGGAGCCAGGCACAGGCGCTCCCACTCCCAGGTGGGACCCCAGGTCAGCATTTAACCTGCCTGGGTCTCAAGCTCTTCCTAAGGGGGTTCCAACAGATCAGATCAAACTTCTTAGCAACAGAACTCTTTATGACAATGTCCTCAGAACCTCAAAAGATAAAACTGACCGATGTGGAGTGGGGAACTCAGAATCTCTCTGTGCCTCAGTTTACTCATCTGTGAAGTGATAACTGCACCCACTGCCCTGGGGTGTCATGTGGATTCAGTGAGGTAATAACCGTAAAGTGCTGAAAATAGCGCCTAGCACATAGTGAGTGTGGTATCAAGTACTTGTTCAATAAAGTGCTCTCAAAGCAGAGGGTGAAAACTGCCTTCGGGGAAAATGAGAAAAGGAGTCAAGCTTGTGTTACCTGTTGGAGCTGCCCGGCTAAGCAGGGGCGCTGCCCAGCTCCCCCTGCCCCCCCAGAGCCGGTGAAGGCGGTGCCAGGAGGTCCCTTACCTGCCGAGAGGAGGTGCTGTTAACGGGATCGGGCACCGGTGCGAGAAGGCTGGGCGGGTTCTTTTTGTGAACGCTATTCATACCAGGCATTTTAGTGATTTTACAGGCTTTGCTACTAGAACTTGAGTTCTTACGCTTTTTTCCTTCTGATTTGTCAAAAGAGAGGGGCAGAGAAGACACAGCATTGTGTGAGGCCAGAGAGAGGTCCCCTGCGTGGAGCGCAAGGGAGGGCACAGAGAGGGGACCGGAGTCACTGCTGCCTCCCACCGCGCCCACCTGTCTCACTATGTCCGCGGGGCCGCTGGGCAGCGAGGTCCGTCCTGAGGGCTCCAGTTTGGCACTGAGTGGGCTCACCCCATTGTTTGAGTTGTGCACAGACAGATTGTTATAGGGAGGGGCCGCCTGATAGGAGTTCAAAGAAGAACTGGCATTCAAAACACAGTTCTTTTTGTGAGGCCCTGACAGTGGAGACGAGAGGGATGTCTGCAAGGATGAGGAGGAGGAGGAGGAGGAAGGCGAAGACTGTGGCTTCCTCTTTTTGTTACTTGGAGACTCGTCGCTACGGGTGGACAGGTCTTTGACTTTTGAGGATTTGCTGGTTTTGGTTTTGGATGGCTTGTGGGATGGGGAAGGGATGACAGCTGGTATCGGGGACACGGCGGATGGGGCCTTGAAGGTTGAGTCCATGATGCTGAGGGTTGCGGCCACATGAGGGAAAGCTGTGGTGTGGGACATGAGGGCGCTCGGGTCCGGCGATGTCACGAAAGCTGCGTTTGAGAGCATGGCTGATGTCATTATGTAAGAAGAGGTGAGCCTCGAGCTGATGGGAGCTGAAGGAAGATACACAGCACTGGGGTTGCTGAAAGGCTGCAAAACGGATGCTGGAACAGGGTTGGTGATGTGGGCTGCTGGCGAGGGCAGGGGGCTATCTGCCGCAGGAGGGATCTTCCTAAATATGAGAGAAGAGTGAAAGAATCAGTGAGACACCGGGTTGGCATTGCTTAGGAGGCTCGATGACGTTTGAGCATCAGGGCTCCAGAGGACACCCCGGCAGAACCAGACTATGGAGAATGGAGCCTTGAAGGATGGGAGAATCTGAAGCATGGCCCCTCCTTATGGCACCCCCCATTGCAACATCCAGCAACCTAATTTTCATCACACTCAGCCTTTCAGATCCTTTTCTCCAGGCTTGGCTACTGGAGAAGGCCTGATTTTGGTTCATGAATAAAAGGTCAATGTTATTTAGAATAAAAATTTCCCCAGTATTCTCTCTCAACCACCGCCACCCCGCCTCCCCCACAACTCTCTTTTTTTTGGCAGCGATGAAGGTGGTTTTTAATGAGAAGTGATCATTTCACATGTAGGTCCTGGTTGCAAGTAAGAAATGTGAGGACAGGGCTTTGCTACCTGGACACAGGGGCCAGAGCTTCCCCGCTCCACCCACTCCAGCTTCTGCCCAGGGACTCTTGGGGCTTTCCTCACCGTGCTCTGGGCTGGAGGCAGTTGGGGAATGGCCCTCTCCAAGGCCAGCATCCTCCTGCCTTTGCTGTCTGCAGCCTCTGGTTCCCTCCACAGAGAGCCGTTTCCACATTGACTCGTGGCTGCTGGCTCCCGGTGGCTGGGCCGTGGACGGTGAGGGGTTGGGGAATGGTGGGATGGCAAGTTGCCCATTCCCAGGACTAGCTTTGTTTTTTCCTATTCAGCCCACTCTACCTTAGCTCTTGCTCAGAGGAGTTGTCTGGGGTGTGGCTTTAGCAGGTCTTCCTGTCCTGTGTTAGGAAAAGGTGAGTGTGGGGACCCTCATGTGTCCAGAGAAGGAGATCAGGGATTTGTAGTTTGTTCTGAAGATAAATGTAGGATGTGGACAGGAGGAGAAAAACAGGAGGGGAGGGGAAACCCACTGTTTTCTTCTTTGGTCTTCTTGGAGCTTGGGGGGTGCCTCAGAGCAAACTCCCTGGAGCCAAGGCCAGCACTAGGCTGTGGCTTACTCTTGGGGCCTCCCTGCAAACTCCATCTTTTGATTTGCGCTGGGAGTGACTCCTCCTTTCATCCTACAGCCTGGGATGCTGCTGCTGCTACTCTGGGGACCGGGAGGAGGCACAGCGGCCACAGGGACATTTGTTCTTGATTTTGCAGGAAAGCACATGGTCCTCGGGAGCCAGGTAAATGTGTTCAAGCTGGTCCTTTCCCATTTCTCACCTTGCTCCCTCTCCCGGTTTCCCTGGGAAATCATTTTCACTGTAGCTGGGGTTCACTAGCGATTAGGAACTAGCTTTCCTTCTTTGAAAGCAGCACATGAAGATGAGCAGGCCCAGAGCCTGTGCCCCTGGGGGCTAGAACACATGCAAGACAGGGCCTCACACCGTCCTTTCTCTTCTTTGGAGGCCACTCTCCCAGCTGTAGCATCAGGACCAGGTGTCAGGGAACTCTGGGAAGAGGCACTGCTGAGAGATAAACGTCTCTCCTAGCATTCCTCTCTGGAGATTCTGCTTTTGGCCTGCACTTTGGTGGAGCCTGTGACATCCATCTTTAGGGTAGAATCCAGAGGAATCCTTGTCCTTGAAAATGTCAGACCAAAGGGATCAAATATAAGAGAAAAATGTTGCCAAACTCACAACGGCCATGATGGCGTTGAGAATTTACATTCTCTCAAGCCTAAAGAAGGTAAGAGATCCTGTCGGTACTCAGCAAGGTGCCCCATAAATACTTGTTGCAATGAATGAATGAGTGAATGAATGGATGGATGAATGGGTAGGTGGATGGGTGAGCAGGTGGATTCTCAGCAGCACCATATCCATATGGTCAGGGACTATGCATGGTGGGCAAGGACTCCCATATGATCAGATTGGAAATGTCTACACACATCCTTAGAACTGTATGGCCCCTCACAACCCCTTCCTAACAGGGGCAGGGAACATTTCTTAGAGGGGGAGACCCCTCCCAACTTTCCGGGTGCTTTTGTTGCCTTGCTGTGGTACTACAGGCAACCCACTCCATCTTTCCTTGACTCGTTTGCTTACCCACTAAAGTATAGATAGAAATACATGTGGGCAGAGGTTTGGCAGTTACTTGTAATAAAAAGTTATTTACAAATACCAGATGGCTCATTTAGAGAGGATTCCAATCAATGAATTTGAATGGGATCCATTTTTTTTTTTTAGACAGAGTCTTGCTCTGTTCCCCAGGCTGGAGTGCAGCAGCGCAATCTCAGCTCACTGCAAGCTCTGCCTCCTGGGTTCATGCCATTCTGCTGCCTCAGCCTCCCGAGTAGCTGGGACTACAGCACCCGCCACCACGCCCGGCTAATTTTTTGTGTTTTTAGTAGACACGGGGTTTCACCGTGACAGCCAGGATGGTCTCGATCTCCTAACCTTGTGATCCACCTGCCTCGGCCTCCCAAAGTGCTGGGATTACAGGCATAAGCCACCGCACCCAGCCTGAATGGGATCCATTTTTAATGTCTCAATTTATAATTTTCCAATTAACTAGTATAAATTCACGCTTCAACTTGTGCTGAGTAGCAGAGTTGAAGTCCTAAATCTTACCTGGCTGACACTCAGGACTGGGATGGGTGCTCTTTTTAGGCACACTTTCTATTCCTTTCTTGCCTCACTAATCAAAAGGGGATAGTAGGGCAGGAAGGAAGATAGGGCAGGGGAGATACAGGGTGAGGGGCATGTGGCAGCTCCCTGTCCCCAGGAGTCCCTTCCCCGCCGAGGCTAAACAGCTTATGTGTTTTTCTAGGTGCTAAATGACAGTGGATTTCAGCTTTGCTGGGCTGTGTCCTGGTGTAAGCTTTGCACACTGGCCCAGGGAAGTCCCACACTAAAGCCCACAGATGCAAATAAATTACTGACAGTGCCCAACCTCCCCTGCCAGGTGGCATGGAGGTCCAGATGCTGACCTGGCTGAAAGAGAATACTGTGTTGGCGGCTCCTGATGCAGAGTTAAATGCTTGTTAAAGAAAAAAGAGTCTTGGCCGTTCCTTTTCTTCCTAATGTCTTCCACGCCCCCATCGGCTGCCATCCCTCCAGGTTCGGGCCCGCCGGGGCCTGGGGTTTGGGCAGCGAGGTTGAGAGGGTAGCGGGGTGCTACGCTCTCCAGAGTTGACACCCAGGCAGCCCCAATGTTGCTCAGTGACAGCAGATTGGTTAGGCAAGTCCTGAACAGGGGGGAGGGACCTGATGCCCTGTGGCTCGGGTTTCTGTGCCTGAGGAGGAAAGGAATATGGAGCTTGAGCTGACAGGACACCAGGGAGTGAAATACAGATCAACACATTCCTTCCACGTGTCCGGGGTTGACACTTCCATAACACAGGGAGCAAAGAGCTGCGAGGATCACCAGGGCTGGCCGCCATCGTGGGGAACAAGCACAGAGGCTCAATCACCAAGTAACTGAGAGCACGGTCACCCCACGTGCAGCACCAATTTGTTGCTGTTTGGAATGGACACAAGCAAATATCAAGGGTGCCCTTTAGACACACTGGGCAGTCACTTAAATGGGAAGAAATGATAAGCTTCTCTTGTGGCCCTTACCTACCTTATAGTAAATGTTAACATTTAGTGCTAAGTCTGCCATGAGAGCTCAATTCAGACACAAATGGGGGAAGTCCAGGTCTGGAGCTCTTTAGGCTTCCAGAAAGCGGCCTAAGGTGTCGTAGCTGCCTGGGGGAGAGGAGGAAACCTGGGAAAGGGGCAAATTTTGACTTCTGTTCCCTCCCATTTCTTAGGAATCCCTTCCTTGACTCTACTGGGCCTCAGTGGGCAGGTGGGGGCCCTCAGCTGTTGTCTTTCCTGGACTGTCTAGGCCCAGATTTACGTGATCCATGACTCAAATGGACGATGATATCTTGAGAGCTCACCTTTGTAGGAGTGGGGGATGGGGATACCCAGTGGGCCAGCCTTGTATTATCAAGTGGTCAAAATGGTAGCCACTTATGTGCTGTGGTTTGAGAGGGTCTAGGCCTATTATTTCTTCCCAATAGCATTCTTCCAGATTAAGGCTTCTTCCCTATTTATGAATCCCCTATTAAAATATAAGTACACTGGAAAGTGGATAGTAAAGGAACTTAAGAGAAAGGGAACATCAGTTGGAGTTTAGGGTAGAGAAGTATAAGTAGAGGTGGGCAGGGGGTCCTAAGGAGATGGGAAGGGCCAAAGACAAACTTAACCAACTTCACAGCATTGCTCAGGATCTGCCCTGTTGGCAAGTGTACAGATGTTTTCACAGGACAGCAAACAACTAGAAATTGGTCGACAACCATAACGAAATCTTTAGTTTTTTTTTTTTTTTTTTTGAGACGGAGTCTCCCTCTGTCACCCAGGGTGGAGTGCAGGGGTACGATCTCGGCTCACCGCAAACTCCGCCTTCGGGTTCAAGTGATTCTCCTGCCTTAGCCTCCTGAGTAGCTGGGATTACAGGTGTGTGCCACCACACCCAGCTAATTTTTTGTATTTTTGGTAGAGATGGGGTTTCACTATGTTGGCCAGGCTGGTCTTGAACTCCTGATCTCAGGTGATCTGCCCACCTCAGCCTCCCAAAGTGCTGGGATTACAGGTGTGAACCACCGTGCCTGGCTGAAATCTTTAGTTTTGATATTGTAGCATTAACATTACAAACAGAAGCATCTTCTTTTTTTTTTTTAAGAGAGAGAGGGTCTCGCTCCATTGCCCAGGCTGAGTGCAGTGGCACAATCATAGCTTACTGTGACCTTGAACTCTTGGGCTGAAGCGATCCTGCCACCCTAGGCCTTTCAAGTAGCTAGGATCATAAGTGTGCATCACTACACCCAGCTAATTGTTAAAAATTATTTTTTGTAGAGATGGGGTCTTGCTATGCTGCCCACGCTGGTCTCGAGCTCCTGGCCTCAAGCAATCCTCCCGCTTCGGCCTCCCAAGTGCTGGGATTACAGGTGTGAATCACTGCACTCAGCCAGAAGCATGTTCTTAATATCCTTAGATTCTCTAGGAGCAATAAAAAGGCCCTTTAACATAGGTAAACAAACAACATATTATCTAATATCCTTCTCATTTAGGAGATTACCAACACAAAAATGGTCTCCAAAAAAGACAAAGCATGTAACATATCATTTGTGCTTCTCAAAACCTTCAGGTAAACCATTAAGAAGAGCTGGTATTTAAGAATTAATCAAACATCCTGACTTCAGAATCATTTTGTTCTATGAAAAGTCAGCCACTGACATTTATTTGGAAAGTTAGGGTTCAGGTAACTGTGGGGCAGCTTGGATCTTATATTGCACAAAAGCTGCTCACTTACTTCCACATCTGTGAATTCAGGTGTTTTTCTACCATGGAGTTTAGTGCGAATCGAAAACGATCCCATCTTCTATCAAAAACATAGTACCCTCGTCCCATGAGGCGACTCCCAAATGAGCAAAACTGTGAGGAAAAAAAAATTTTAATTTTGATTACAGGTTAATAAGCTAATATAAACTATACAGAGAAAAATAACATTTGCATAAAAACACACAGGGGCACAATTTTACTCAAAATAAAGAAGCAAACTGTATGAAGCCAAAAATATTTCTGCAGTTCTGTAGTTTGAGCTCTGGATTTTCTGCAGAACCTCACATTGCAACTCAACAATAGCTACATTCAGTTTTCTGTGGCACAGAGGGGCTACGCTTTCTCCTCCTGGGATTGAGCCAGCATTTTTTGGTTAAGAAACAAATAACACCAGGCACAGTGGCTCATGCCTGTAATCCCAGCACTTTGGGAGGCTGAGGTGGGCAGATCACTTGAGGTCAGGAGTTTGAGACCAGTCTGGCCAACATGGTGAAGCCCCGTTTCTACTAAAAATACAAAAATTAGCCAGGCGTGGTGGCGGCACCTGGGATCCCAGCTCTTAGGGAGGCTGAGGCAGGAGAATCGCTTGAACCCAGGAGGTGGAGGTTGCAGTGAGCTGAGACTGTGCCACTGCACTCCAGCCTGGGTGACAGACTGAGACTGTGTCTCAAAAAAAAAAAAAAAAAAAGAAACAACCAGCACCCAGGGTGACTTTTCAGGACCATCTGTCCTATTATCAGCCACATTTTCTCAAGGAACTTGGTGGTTCCCTGCTTCTCATGATAGTAATGGGAACTCCTCGTGCTAGTGTCCCAGGTCCCACCTTTCCTATCTGATGTCAACAGAGCCACTTTGCTTCCAGCCAGGCTAAATGCCTTCCTTTCCCAGTCTCGACCGCATTTCTGCCTCCAATCAGTCTTTGTAGGCTGTCCTGGGACACAGCACCACCTTGAAGCTTTTGTTCCTACTATTCCTTCTCCCCGTTGTCTCCTTCCTTCTTCTTTTTGTCAATCCCAATTCCCCACTCTCTCTCCCGGTTCCCTTATCAAGACTCTCATTTCCAGTGCCTCTCATCTGAATGATCTTCCCACTGTGAATTCCCATGGCACACCCATTGCCTGCTTTATTCCATTTTGCCTTGGACTCATGACATGGCTGTTTTACGTTATACACAGGATGCCTACATACCTGATTTGACTATCAGTGTATAGACAGGAGAGCCCATTCTCTTCCTTCTCCTTAGTATGAGGATAGTAGGCATTTGGGCTAACAAATAGATTGGGGAGACAGGGATCCACAAAATGTTTAAAGCACACTATCCCTCTTAAAATACGTGGATGAAATATCGGCATTCAGATGTTTAATAAACATTTGATTATGATGTTAGGACAACCGGAAGGCTCTCAGACAGAAATGCAAGAAGCAGCCTCAGAGAAGGTGACATTTGGCTGGTTTAGGGCTCAGGCGAGTCTGCAAATGACTCTATAACTCAAAAGCAGCTCTCCCCCTTCCTCCAGGCCTCCCAGCAGCTCCCTGGCCTCTCTCCCAGACACAGGGCTGGATTGGCACTCATTCCACAAACCCGTCCTGGAACCAGACTTTGGAACAGTTCTCAGGAGGAAATGTAAGACCTTCCCTTTGTTCTGTTTCTATTGGTGTTTTGGGGGTTTTCTCATTAAAATCTTGTCACCCATCAAATCTGGTACTGCTGATGAAAAACACTTTTCTGCACCTTCATGTTAAGTGCTTACTGACCAAGCAAGAAAACATACAAAGGGAATTTTCCGACATAGAAGCTGGTCCCCGGCAGCATGTGGGAGCTCTTCCAGGTCTAGACATCATTTCTTCCCCCATTCCAATTGCTAAAGATGCACTGAGCAAGCAATCATTACAAACAATGATTTAATGTATCAACTGGCCGTGAGAGAAAGGACAAAGCAAAGACACAAATCTGTGGCTTTTCCATTTAAATCAGCAAAACATTAAGGGCACACAGCTGTGCCACATCCCGAGTTTAGCGAATCCACTGTAGCCTGGCAGGTTGTCATCTGAATAAATGTCTCGATGTGCTCCAGAGTCTGGCCTTTTGGCAGAGCCTTGTATTTCTTTCAGACTCAGGAGCTGGAGGCACCGTTTTGTCTTTGCTACCTGTGTATCTCATTCTGTACAGATGCGAGGCTAGGTCCTGAGAAGTTCCAGTTCCTGGCTGGCATGTTACGCCTCCAGCAGAGCTGTAGATCCTCACTGCGTGGGCCACCGTGGCAGACCCTACTGGTTGCCAACCTCACCAACTACCACCCACTCCCACCTCTGTCTTTTCCTTGCAAACAGAACCACACTTTTATTTTGATATCTGACACAGAGCAGTAATCAAGCGGTCTCCTCCCAGAACCTTGGGATGAATCATGGCTGGTTCCTCCTGCGTCACTGCAACCCCTTCCTTCTCTGCTGCCAATTGATCTAGGGATGGGCATGTGACCCATTTCTGGTAGATATAAGGGGAAGTCTGCTGAGGTTTTCATAGGAAGATTTTCTTTCCTAACATAAGGCAGCATCGGCCGGGCACGGTGGCTCAAGCCTGTAATCCCAGCACTTTGGGAGGCCGAGATGGGTGGATCACGAGGTCAGGAGATCGAGACCATCCTGGCTAACACGGTGAAACCCCATCTCTACTAAAAAAATACAAAAAACTAGCCGGGCGTGGTGGCGGCTGAGGCAGGAGAATCGCTTGAACCCAGGAGGTGGAGGTTGCAGTGAGCTGAGACTGTGCCACTGCACTCCAGCCTGGGTGACAGAGTGAGACTCCGTCTCAAAAAAAAAAAAAAAAAAAAAAAAGGCAGCATCTTGGAAGAAGACCCCTTTTCTGTTTGTCCCTTTCCAACCTGAGTAGCACACCACTGGGTGAGGATGAAATGTCAGAGCTGCAGCTGACGGACTGGGACCATGCGTGAGAGGTAGAGGGAGTTGTAGAGATTGTCCCTCAGCTCCATGACATCGTGGAGAAGCTGAACCAAGCTTGGGAGCACCTGCCTCTACACTCTCTGCTATGTGATATAATTAAATGACCTTAGCGCTTGTGCCAGATGAGTTGAATGTTCTGCTTCTGGCAGTCAAAGGCATCCTTAATCGTCCCTGACTACTTTCTGTACTAATCAAGAGGCAAAGTCTCAGACTGATGGTGAGCCACAGGTAAGCATCATCCCCAGGAAAGAAAGTGAACTTGGCCTTCATTCATGACACGGAGAGGAGGGAAGAGGGATTCACTTGATCTTGATGCGGGCCAGGATGGATTTCACTTACACAGTCTAGAGACAGAGCTGATCCTGCAGGACTCAGGCTGGCACCAGAGTAAACCACCACGGGGTCCCATGTTCTAGGCCCCTGCATTCGGCTCTGCAATGGCAGCACCAGGCAGTCCCTTTTCAAGTGCTCGTAGACAAACAATAAACAAGCCTCCAGCAGATGCCTCCTGTTTCCCACCTTAGTTTCCATGACCTTCTGAACTGTCAGCGTGCACTCATTCAAGGAAGGGGAAAGAAAGTGCCCTTTTTACTAATCAGCAATCATGGTGACCTGAAATGCTTCTTCTTTCCTTCAACACACACACGCTCAGTTCTGGTGCCATATGGTCACACAACAGTAATACTTAGAACTAAAAGGGAGAATACCAACAAGGGCTGACCCCTGACGTGCTGCTAAGACAGACGGTTTCCAGAGCAGGTGAACCAAGCTAACCCTGGACATCAGAGGCTCCGTTTTTAGATGGACAAGGCCAGAGGATCAGCTCCTGAGTGCACTTATAGAAACACTATTTCTCAAGCATGCTCGCTTCAAGGTCGGCCATAAATACTCAGGATTATCCATTCTTCTCTCTTTTTTTCTTTTTAGTAGTATGTGGAAGTACTCGGGATTATAATCAGCTGGGAGCCCGTTCCTTTCCTTTTGTAATGTTCAAGGGTATTTCTAAGGCAATCATTAAAACTCACGGTAAGTCTTTTTGTAAAACACTGCACAGGCAGCCTTGCCTTAGGAAGGATCATGCCTTTGGTATGATCACCTAAGTGTCTGCAAAGCACAGGCGAAGAACGCACAGTAAGGAACAGAAGGAGGCCTACCGCAAGAGGTCTGGGATGGTGCGTGGAGAACTGACAGTCTAGCTTCTCGGATTCGTCGGCTCCGTCCATCTCCCCTTCATCACTGGACAGTCGGCTGGCGAGGTCACTTCCAACAGGTGGGAGTGGGGGCTCTGGAGTGTAGCCGCTATGATTCGAAGACGCGCTGCTGCTTATGCTATTTGCAGATGGTGGTCTAAGGGCAAGAGGGGAGAACAAAGAAAATAAACCAAATAAACCTTTTCTGAGGTGACAAGATCCACCCAGTTTAATGGTGCTCAGGAAACAGCCTGTTAATGGCCAGGTGCCATGGCTCACACCTGTAATCCCGGCGCTTTGGGAGGCTGAGGCGGGCAGATGACGAGGTCAGGAAATTGAGACCATCCTCGCCAACATGGTGAAACCCCGTCTCTACTAAAATACAAAAAACTAGCCAGGTGTGGTGGCGCGTGCCTGTAGTCCCAGCTACTCAGGAGGCTGAGGCAGGGGAATCTCTTGAACCCGGGAGGTGGAGGTTGCAGTGAGCTGAGATTGTGCCACTGCACTCCAGCCTGAGTGACAGAGCAAGACTCCATCTCAAAAAAAAAAAAAAAAAAGAAAACGAAAACAGCTTGATTAGCCTCGCCAGTACCTCAGGGAGGGCACATCGGTGGTGACTTTGCATAAGGGAAAACTATCAAGGCTGAAGGGTTTGCAGTGACCAGCTCTCTCCGGTGACCCAGTCAAGTTCTGCCCCAGCTGCTGTCCCTGGGGCAGATGACAGGAATGATGGGAAAGCGCAACAGTGTAAGTGGAACATCAGATATGGGAACGTGACAAAGTGAACTGAACCTACACCAGTCTTCTATGAATTCAGTTACAAGTATTCACTCATTTGTAGGTAAGTAAGCTGTACTTGCCATACAATTGCTTTCCTTTGAAAGTGGAAACTGACAGGAAGATCAACCAGGTAAACAAGATTAGGGCAATCACCAAAAATATCAGTAATGAAGAAACACAGTCCTATGCATACGTTCTTTGATACAAAGCTATGATTTTAGGAAACTGTTGTTACACTGACATGAAAAAAAGTTTTGTCCTGCTGATGGGCCACTCATTAGTACCTTACTCTGCACCCATGCCTGTCACTTAATATTGAGTTGTGTGTAGTTTAATTGTATTTTCTGAGGATGACTGTTTCAATTTACATTTTTTATTTATTTACGAGACACTCGTAGTCTATCACCCAGGCTGGAGTACAGTGGTGTGATCTCTGCTCACTGCAACCTCCATCTCCCAGGTTCAAGCGATTCTCCTGCCTCAGCCTCCCGAGTAGCTGGGATTACAGGTGCCCGCCACCATGCCTGGCTAATTTTTGTATTTTTAGTGGAGACAGGATTTCACCATGTTGGCCAGGCTGGTCTTGAACTCCTGACCTCAGGCGATCTGCCCACCTCAGCCTCCCAGAGTGCTGCGATTACAGGCATGAGCCACCGCGCACAGCTTAAATTTACTTTTTGACAAGCCCTTTTACGTACTGTGGGGCATGATTGGCTCACAGTAGGTGCTAAAGAGATATTTTTTTCAGTGAACGAATGAATGAATTCTGTGTGTGTATAAAACAACCCAACAGATGGCATCTTAATTATGGTTAAGCTTACAAAAAGCAATGTCACAATAAGAGGTAGAATTACCTGCTTCTTAGGCAGTAAAAAACAAAACAACACAAGGCAAAACCAAAATCAAACACATCCACATTAGCAGAAGAGTTAGATGAGGAATAGTCACAGTTAACTGTTACTAGTTTTTACTATTTCTCCACTTCCATCAGGTGATTGAGCAGGGAGAGGTGACAAAGATAGGGAGAAAAAGAAGGAGAAAAAAAGATTGTTTTTCTGCTTTCTGCTTCAAAAGTTGCTCCTTCAAGTCTTATGAAGCAGCACTGCTGATCTGTCTCCCCTCTCTCTTATTTTCACCCTGGATATTTGTTGCTTTGAAATCTTTTCAGGTCTCCAATGCTTGAACTTAAAACAGATTCCAAAAGTATAATCACTTAAAAACAAAACCACAGACGTGAAAACAACCCAAATGTCCATCAGCAGATGACAAGACAAAATATGGTATATTCATTCAATGGAATATTATGCAAGCCTTAAAAAGGAATGAAATTTTGCTACTATACAAATGACACTTGAAAGCATCATACTAAATGAAATAAGCCAGACATGAAGGACAAATATTGGATGGTTCCACTTATATGAGATACCCAGACAGAAAGTAGAACAAGAGTTATCAGGAGTTGGAAGGAGAGGGAAATAGGGAGGGGGTGTTTAGTGGATATACAGCTTCAACTGGAGATGATGAGAAAGTTCTGGAGATGGATGACAGTATAACTACACAACATTGTGAATGTACTTAATGCCACTAGACACTTAAAAATAGTAAATTTTGCGTTATGTATATTTTACTATAAAAACAAAACAAAACAAGGCCATATGTAGTTTTTCAGTGTCATTATAAGAATTCTGTTGGGATGACAATTTATTACGGACTGTCACCTTCCTGTACTATAAAAACAAAGCTGCCATTTATTCTGAGTGTCTACAGGCCAAAGAACGCATCTCCCCAGACATTCCTCAATGTCTGCTCTTCTGTATCTGTGTGCTTATGGTTGAAGACCCAAATAATAAAGCAATTTAGATAAAGCTAAAACATAAAAAAAAAAAACAAAACCAGTGTCCATAACTCTGCCACCCAAGATCAAGTATTATTAGCATTTTGATTTACATCCTTCCAGACTTTGTTACCATCCACACACATGCAAATGCATCTTAAAGCAAGAACTGGATCACACGATCACCCGGAACATGAAATGTGAGTAGTACATACTATTTTGAGACATGCTTTTTAAAAAACCTAGTGGTGATGTAGAAGTGTTTCCATGTATAGAACTATATCATTTTTAATATTCCCCAGTAATCCATAGTATGAATATATCACAATTTACTTAACAAATCTTCTATTGATGAAGATTTGTTTCCAAACTTTCTAACAGGCTCTCTCTCTATGAAGCCCTCTCCATCATGATAGGTCCTCCTTATCCTGCAGGAGATAGATTAAAAAGGAGCTGGATTTTATTAAGTGTGATAACAGCATCATGGTTACGTAGGGAATTGCCTTTCTTTTTATGTATTTATTTTTATTTTTTAGAGACAGGATCTTGCTCTGTCACCCAGGCTGGAGTGCAGTGGCATGATCATGGCTTACTGCAGCCACAAACTCCAGGGCTCAGGGGATCCACCCGCCTCAGCTTTGTGAGTAGCTTGGTCTATAGGCATGTGCCACAATATCTGGCTCATTTTAAAATTTTTTACAGAGACAGGGTCTGCTTATGTTGCCCAGACTGGTCTCAAACTCGTGGCCTCAAATGATCCTCCTTGCTCGGCCTCCCAAAGTGTTGGGATTGCACGTGTGAGCTACTGTGCTAGGCTTGTCTTTCTTTTTTTTTTTTTTTAGACAGAGTATTGCTCTGTTGCCCAGGCTGGAGTGCAGTGGTGCGACCTCAGCTCAGTGCAACCTCCACCTCCCAGGTTTAAGTGATTCTCCTGCCTTAGCCTGCCAAGTAGCTGGGACTAACAGGCATGCGCCACTACACTCAGCTAATTTTTGTATTTTTAGTAGAGACAGGGTTTCACCATGTTGGCCAGGCTGGTCTCGAACTCCTGACCTCAGGTGATCTGCCCGCCTCCACCTTCCAAAGTGGTGGGATTACAGGCATGAGCCACCACACCCGGTCCTGTCTTTACTTTTTAAAGATGCATTTGGAAGGCGTTTGAGGTGAAATGCCATGGTATTTGCAATTTACATCAGAACGCATCATCAAAAAATGTAGATGAAGCAAACATAATTGCAAAATATTAATATACTAACTGTTAAAACAAGACCTGTAGGTGTTCAATATACTATTCTCTCTACTTTTCTATACATTGGAAAAATTTCATAATGAAAAAGAGGAAAAACAAAAACAAGAAGAAAATAGAGTTAGTACTACAGGTATATGTAAGAAAGTTACTAAAGAACTTCCTATTTTTTGGTGTTTTATTTTTCTTCGGCTTTACTGCGGTATAACATCTTACACTTATCATACATAAATAAAATTGTATATATTTAAGGTATACAATGTGATTTGGTATATACGTACATTGTAAAACGATTACCACAAGTTAGCTAACATATGTCACCTCGCAGTTACCAGTTTTTTTTTCCATGGTGAGAACATTTTTTATTTTTATTTTTTAGAGACACGGTCTCTGTCTGTCTCCCAAGCTGGAGTGCGGTGGAGCAATCACTCACTGTATTCACAGGGACTCCTGGGCTCATGGGATCTTCCCACCTCAGCCTCCCAAGTAGCTGGGACTACAGGCATGAGCCACTGAGCCCAGTGAAATTGGCTTCAGATCTACTTATTTAGCAAATTTCGAGTACATAAGACAGTATTATTAACTAGAGTCACCATGCTGGATATTAGATCCCCAGAACGTATTCATCTTGTAACTGAAAGTTGTCCAATATCTCCCCATTTCTCCCAACCCTTAGCCCCAAACAACCGGCATTCTACTCTCTCTTTCTGTGAATTTGGCTGTTTTAGATTCCACCTGTAACTGAAATCATACAGTAGTTGTCATTCTGTATCTGAATTTACTTAGCATAATGCTCTCAAGTTCATTCATGTTGTAGAAAATGACAGGATTTCCTTCTTTTTTATTGTTAAATAATATTTCCTTCTATATATATATAAATGTATTATTATTATTATTATTGTTATTTATTTATTTTGGAGATGGAGTCTCCCTCTGTCACCCAGGCTGGAGTGCAGTGGTGTGATCTTGGCTCACTGCAACCTCTGCTTTCCAGGTTCAAGTGATTCTCCTGCCTCAGCCTTCTGAGTAGCTGGGATTACAGGCACCCACCACCACGCCCAGCTTATTTTTTTGTATTTTTAGTAGAGATGGGATTAAGCCATGTTAACTAGGCTGGTCTCAAACTCCTGACCTTAAGTGATCCACCCGCCTTAGCCTCCCAAAGTGCTGGGATTACAGGTGTAGGCCACTGCGCCCAGCCTTATTATTGCTTTTTTTGAGACACAGTCTCACTCCTTCACCCAGGCTGGAGTGCAGTGTAACCTCCGCCTTCCAGGTTCAAGCAAGCAATTCTCGT